TCATCATCACCATCATCACTCGCATCACCACCACCATCATCATCAGCATCATTATCACCATCTTCATCATCACCACCATTATCAACATCATCATTGTCCATCCTCCTTATCCTCATCTTCCTCCTCATCATCAGCATCATCATCAGCATCATCATCATTACCATAATCATCAGCATCATGATCATCACCATCAACAGCATCACCATCATCACCATCATCACCACCACCATCATCGTCATTACCATCATCATTAGCATCAGCATCACCGTCATCCTCATCATCGCCAGCATTAGCAGCATCAGCATCATCGTTATCGTCATAATCATCAGCATCAGCAGCCTCATGATCATCACCATCACCATCATCATCATCCTCATCATCATCGTCATCACCACCATCATCATAATCATCAGCATCAGCATTCCCATCGTCACCATCATCATTACCACCACCATCACCATCATCGTTACCACCACCATCATCATCACCAACGTCATGAGCATCATCAGCATGATCAGCATCATCACCACTAGCGCCATCAGCAGCATCATCAGCATCATCATCAGCATCATCATCACCACCACCACCATCAGTATCATCATCATCGTCATCATCAGCATCATCATCACCATAATCATTATCAGCATCATTATCACCATCACCACCATTATCATCATCATCGTCCCTCCTTGTATTCCTCATCATCATCAGCATCCTCATCAAAATCATCACCACGCTCGTCACCTGAATAATGTTAAGCATCATCACCATCATCGGCATCATCATCATCATCATCATTTTCATAAGTATCGTCATCATCATCAGCAGCATCATCTTCATAAGCATCGTCATCCTTATCATTAGCATCATCGTTATCATCACCCTCATCATTATCAGCATCATCATCTTCAGCAACAACGTCAACATCCTCACCACCATCCTCCTCCTCCTTCTCATCATTATCATCATCATCATCATCATCATCATCATCATCATCATCATCATCATCATCATCGTCATCATCCTGCTCTTCCCCTCGCCACGCCCCCCCAAGCCCGTCGGCCACGCCTCTTTTTTTGTTGCCCCGCCTGGGCGCGGAAGGCTTGCGGCCAGGGCGGCGAGGCGCGCGGGGCCGCCTTCGTCGCGAGGCACTCGCTGAACTCCGAGGCGGCGGCGGGGAGGACGGAGGAGTAGGACGGAGGAGGAGGAGGACGGAGGAGGAGGAGGAGGAGGAGGAGGAGGACGGACGGAGGAGAAGGAGGAGGAGGAGGAGGTGGGCGGAGGAGGAGGAGGGGAGAAGGAGGAGGAGGAGGAGGAAGTCGAAGGTGGAGGAGGAGAAGGAATATGAGGAAGATGAGGGACAGGGGAGGGAGGAGGGAATGAGGGATGGATAGCGGGATGGATGGATGAAGGGAGGGAGGGATGAGGAGAAGGAGGAGGGCAACGGATGACGAATGACAGACAGGTGGAAGAGGAGGAGGAGGAGGAGCCAGAACGAGGCGGCCATGGCATCAAGGGGATTTTGGTGGAGATCGAGGTTCGAGGTCTGGAGGTTTTCCAACGTTTTCGTCGGTCCCCGCCTGTTTTCTGGCCTCGGGGTGCCTTCCAGCGGCTGCGCCTCGCCGAGAGCGTTCCCAGAGTGCCCGAGTTGTCCGAAACGGCTGCTGGAGGCTTAATTTATGACCTGAAGACCACCAGGGCCATAAGAGAAAAAGGAATCGATGGAGGGTGGGGCAGGTCCAGGCTTCCCACATGGGGTCCGAGTAGATTTAAGTCGGGCCTGTCCCTCTACAGGAGGAATCTTCAAAAATAGTAAAAATTAGTCTGGGGACTACTTTATCATCATTTTTGATTATTATCGAATATTTTTGGGGTCCTTTTTTATTTTTCGCCCAAAGTCCGCCTGTAGGGGGACACGCCCGACCTAAGAGTAGATGGGACTGGAGGATCGTGCCGCGTCGCCAAAGCATCGGCGGTGCGGCTCGACGTGCAGCCCGATGTTTCCCGCCCCGACGTCGCCGATGGATTGCCGACGTCGGCGGTGCATCGGTGATGCGGCGGCACCCCTTGCCCCCATCTGCCCGGACCCCGCTCGAGAGGCCTCTGTCAGCAGGGAGGGTCGGGGGTCCGGGTCACCCGCGGGGATGCAAAGGTAGGCGCGCATCGCGCGTTGCGGTTTGGGCCAGAGCGGCTGCCCTTCTCCGGGAGGGGCGGCGCGACGGCGCGAAGATCATCGCACGTCGCGCATCGCGGGGCGCGATGCGCGCAGTTTGGGAACCTGTGGGGAAGCCCATGCCAATAAGCACCTTGCTTGCCTCTGGGGTGCCCCAGGTCTCTTGGTCTTCGACGGTAGTGTTCCGATGGAAAGCGTGACGCCCCCACGCCAGAAATCAGGGGACGTCCTGGGGTCTCAGGGTTGGGCTGCTTGTAGAAGGTTTCTTGGGGGAGGGGCGGAGGAGGAGGAGGAGGAGGAGGAGGAGGAGGAGAAGAAGGAGGAGGGTGAGGAGAAGGAGGAGGAGGAGGAGGAAGGAGAAGAAGAAGCAGAAGAGGAGGAGGAGGAGGAGGAGGAGGGGGAGCAGGAGGAAGAAGAAGAAGAAGAAGAAGCAGAAGAGGAGGAGGAGGAGGAGAAGGAGGAGGAGAGGGAGGGGGTGGAAGGTTTCTTCTGGTCGATCTCCCACTGCATGGGGATCGGGGTTCGAGTGGAGATCTGCGGCTGTCTGGTGCCTTTCTCGCCCCTTTCGTTGGCCTCTTGGGAGGCCCGTCGCCGCCTCGGTTGGGCTCTCTTCGACATGCTGGCCAGAGCACAATCCCCAGGAGAGCCAGGAGGGAACAAAAACACACAGACACAATGAAGCGTCGATCCCCCAGAAAATATGGGAAAATATGGGGGGGAAAGCGAACATCACAAACATAGGGGGGAAGATCGGGAATCCTGGGACTTGTGTATATTTGTGTGTGTGTGTGTGTCCCTGGGCCTCTTCAGAGAGGTCCGTGGGGTACAGTGGGTGCGCGCATCAAGAGATTTACAGATTTTCGTCAGGGTGCCCTGGGTTTCTTCGCTCCGCGCGCTGCGCGGTGGCTTCCCGTGGCCGTGGAAGGAGCTGCTGCGTTCGGGGTGCTCTGGACTCCCCCCACTTGCATCTCGCACCTGCGGGTTTCAGGGCTGGGTTTCTTGCGAGGGTTTCTTGCGGCCGCGCCCGCACTGTAGCAGTATCGGTACCTGCTGGTTTCCCCAGGGAGCAGTCTACATTGGCGACGGTTGATGGTTACTTCGATTCTCCGATTTCGCTTTCTCTGCGGAAGATGCCGCAGCAGCGGAGCGCGCATTTGCAGTAAGACGGCCGGTGCACACACATTCTGGCGCCAAGGGGCGGAAAGCGTCGCGGGGACAGATGGGGCATCAAGTTCAGCTTGCCAGGGCTTTTGGTGCCATAGGCTTCCTGAACAACGAAGCGAATCTGCTTTCCGGCCTCTTCAGCATACAGGGGCCCGCGTCGGACTCCAGGGCTGTCAGGCCGCGGTCCTCGACACGGGGCTGGCCAGGCTGGACCCCGGGAGGGCGGGGTCGAGGGGCAGATTCCACGCGGATCTTGGCCTGGCGATGGCGGTGGAGATTCCGACGCAGAGGCGGCTCCTGGGGTCTCACGCAGGGGCCCAGAAGAGCACGACCTCTACTCAAAAGTGGTTCGTTCCTTTCACCCCGGAGGTTCAACGCCTCCTCTGGGGGGGTTCCGGAGGCTACGCCTTCATTTTGTGGGGCCCTCCCCGGGGCCGCCTAAGCGTGTCGTGTTTCTGCCGACGTGCGTCCGTCAGAGAGCTCTTTGCAGAAGTCCAGCTGCCTGCAGCCAACACCGCCGACTTGCCAGCGCAGCACCGGCATCCATGCAGGATGGTTCTACCGAGCGCTCCCGAACATGCTCGGCTGAGTCATCACGGGGCTGCCTGGGAGGCAGTGCTACGATGTTGAAGCGCGTCGCAGCTGCATACTGCACGGTTGCTGCGCTGCTGCTTGGGGGCTTCTTTGAGGCGCCTTGGGGGCTTCTTTGGGACATCTTTGGGGGCTCTTGGGTATCTCTCGGGGGCCTCTTGTGGCTTCTGGAGAGCCTGCTGGGGTTAGCTTGGGAGCCTCGGGGCCGTCGCGGGCGCGATGACTGCTGGGCTGTCCCAACGAGGCTCGGTTGAACCATCGTGGGCCTATCTGGGCAGAGCCTCCTTGGAGCGGTCTTCGGCCGTCTTGAAGCATCTTCGGGCCATCTTGGAGCCGTCCTGGGGCCTTCTTCGGGCCGTCTTGGGCCGTCTTTGAGGTTAGGGTGGTCGCTGGGGCTTTCCTGAGGCCGTCCAAAGCCGAAAAGCCCCTGAAGCCCCAAATAATGGAATCCTTCATGTCTTTCATTATTCCCCATCTCCTAAATACGGGCATCTTAGTATTCGCGTGATGCCTCCGCCTCCGCCTTTTCACATCTTGCTTCCGCAGCCGCTCATATATTCAGACCCGCTCACACATACTGGCTCACATCCAGACTCATTAGTACTAAAACCTGCACACCCAGACCCGCTCATATTCAGAGTCAATCGCGCCCAGCCACTTCTGTTTAGACTCAGCCCTGCTCATACTCACTCATATTTAATCATTCATGACACGCTTACGCTCAGACTCACCTACACCAGACACTCAGAAAGCAACGCTTTATATTACATGCGTTCATACATTTGCATGTGCTATTGTCCGTATGTGCACGTTTCTGTGCGATATATGTGTATATATGTATAGGTATACATCAACGTATATTATACAACTCTGTATTGGCGCTTCGCGCCACGCGCCTTGCTCCAGACGCTTCCCCGAACAAAAATTAAAATGATCGCTTGCTCCAGCAGAGAGGGTCGCGAGGTCTGGACGGGCGACCTGGTCAGTTGTCTGATGTCACTGGTGCCTGCAGTCAACGTGTTCGCCCGATGCGCTTGCGCACTATTGCGCAGGAAGCTATGATTCTCGCGCGAAACTTACCGGCACACGACGAAGCATCAAGCTGTTGCGATGACACCTGTGAACGGGAGAGTGCAGTGTGGGGGCCCATGCCAAGAAACACTCTGCTTGCCTCCAGGGTGCCCTGGGTTTCTTGGGTTTCGATGGTTCTGCGATGGAGAGCGCGACTATCCCACACCAAAAATCCATGGACGTCCTGGGGTCTCAGGGTTGGGTTTCTCGTAGAAGGTTTCTGGTGGACTGGCCTCCACTGTAGCAGGGAGGAGGAGGAGGAGGATGAGGAGGAGGAGGAGGAGGAGGAGGAGGAGCCGAGAGGGCAGAAGGACAAGGGCCCCGCCTAAGGTAGGCGTGCTGAATACATCGGGGCGTCTCTTGGGAAGTCTCTCGGGAGAACCAGTCCAGGGCCGTCGAAGAGGCGTTCCGAGGGATTTGCGGGGGCGGCAGAGAGGGGTGTGATGACTAGGAGGGGTGGATATTATGGCTTGGGCCATGATAACTCCCCAGATTTCATGGCGCCTCGTTTTATTTCATTACGTCCCTGGCCCCCCGCCCTGGGCCGCGCGCATGCTGCTGGCCATGATTTGCGCCCCCCCTCTTGGACGCCCTCCTCTAGACCGACCCCGAGCTTTGGCTGCCTCTGGGGGGCTTTTCCAGGGCCTGCTTTGGGCCTTCCGGGAGCGCTCCAAGGCGCGTCGCAGCAGGAGGAGGAGGAGGAGGAGGAGGAGGAGGAGGAGGAGGAGGAGGAGGAGGGAGGAGGAGGAGGAGGAGGAGGAGGAGGAGGGAGGAGGAGGAGTGTGAGGATGTGTGTCGCCTCGCTGCCTGTTCCGACGCGCGGCCTTGCGCCTCGGGGAGGGCGCCGCGGGCCTGCCGGTTGGGTGCCGGCGGCGTCGCCTTAGGGCGCGGGGTGCAGGGGGTTGCTGTGGGCTTGCCGTGGTGGTGGCGTTGTAACTCTGCAGGAGGGGAAAAACATACAGGCACAATGAATCGTAGATTCCCATTAAAATAGAGAACGTTTTTACTTATACATATGTATATATATATATTCCTCTGGCGGGTAACGCTTGTTACCCGGCCCCCCCCCGGGTAACGCTAACGATCGTACATTACTAGGGGAAAATATGGGGAGCGGGGTGGGAAGACAAAAACCCAGGAAACGTGGGGAATCCTGCAAATTTTGTAT